AAAGACTATAGACTACCACAGGATCCGGTTATGAGCTGTGTATAGAAAACGGGGTAATCATAACAAATCATTCGAGAATGCTTGGCTGGATTTAGTTAGCAAACTCGAATGTAATTTTTTTATTTGCTCTGTCAGATGTTAAATGAATACTGTTCATAAATCCAGAATTTTGTCCGGATTACATCAAACAAAAACATACGTAAATGCAATTAGCTGAACATAGTGATGTACTTACTCTAAAAGCGTGCATCATTCTAGTGCAAACAACTAAAAGTGCACAGAAACGCACAATCATGTGAACAACGACAAACAGATTCCTATAAAATTGCACAATCTGAGCCGCAAGCTTTTGTTTGATACGTTCTAAGCTGCCTAATGGTTACATAAATGTTCATATCCGGCGTGAATTTACTCTTCGTAGAATCTGCCTATTGTTCTTCAAGTATGACACATGAAGACTTATATCTAATTGGTGTACCTCTCAAGGCACACCTGGAATGCAAAACTGAAAAATACCGTATAAAGTTTTCTCAATATTTCCCAATTACTTCAGCTGAATAAAACTTAAAAACTCTCGTCTGAAAATCCCAGCAAACTCTGGGACGCAAATTATGTTTCCAAAATTATGTAAAAAAAAATTAAACGAGTAAATAGCAGTGCTTACAGCTTAAGTCTATAATTCAGTGCCATAATTTACATATGTATGAACATGGTTAAATATTTCCATGTAAATTCACAGATTTTTTTTTTATATAATTTTCATTACAATTTATGGTGGACATTTTTGTTACAGTATGCCCTAGATAAAACATGTCTCTTAATCACTTAGCTAGTTTATCCTTGATAATGACAGACTATTTCTATAAAGAATGGTTTACACTTGGTACGGAAAAGGTGATAGTATTGATACTTTATAGAAAGCCCCTGATTATGCAGAGCATTTTGGGCAGCCTTAAAGTAACTTATAACTACTTATAATACATAACTACTAGTGGAATTTTTGCAAGAATAATTTGTTGGAAGTTTTACTGTTCTCTATAACATTTGTGAAGGTTATTACGAATGTTGGTCAAATACAAATGCAGATACTACTTTCCATATAAAAGTCTTAAAAAATTTTACTATGCATTACTCTGTTATCGTGAGACAAATGTACAGCTCAAAATGAAAAATAAATAATTAGGAAAGTTTAAAAATTACCACTAGCCTACATAAATATAGATATTTTTTCCTGCAAGATTTTTCTCAGAGCAAGAGATGTTTTTTTTTTTTTTTGCGGTTCATTGTGCCCTGAAGCGTGACCTCGCATCTGTGATGTCAAATGCCTTCACTCTGTCTTGCTGCTCACTGAATGGCGACTGCCGTCGCCTGTCCTGTGGGCTCTCTGCTCAATCATTTCCGGGGATACCGTCTTGAGATCATAAGCCAACCCGATCTTACTACAGAAGTCGATCGTCAAACTCGTGATATTGTAGGCACCGAGACCCCCAAATTCAGCAGTGCGGTAGTCCCAGGGAAAGACGTGATGATAGTTGTGCCAGCCTTCACCCAGTGCTAGATATGCCACTATGGGGTTCTGTGATGGGTAAATGTTCTTATCGAAGGGCTTACTACCCACCCAGTGAGCCAGGGAGTTGACGAACCATGTCACGTGGAGGACGATGTTGTAGCGCAGGAAGCCAGCTACCATCAGGGCAGTGACCGGGTGTTCTTCCCACAACACCCAAGGAATAACAGTTGGTAGGACGAAACACGCCGTTACGACCAAGGGAACGTAGTGTTTACGCTGCCACATGACTATTTTGTCCTCTTGCAGGTCTGATACATCCAAGGTGCGACCCTTCGTGATGACATCAGGATGTTTCCGGTACATAAGCCACCCCATATGGGAGAAGAAAAAGCCACGGCGAGCATTGTGCGGGTCTGCGTCTGTTTCACTGTATTTGTGATGCACTCTGTGGTCCCTAGCCCACTCGAAGATATCATTCTGGAAGGACAGGGTCTGGAATACGGCGAGAATCACACGTAGAGGTAAAGTTGCTTTAAACGACCGGTGGGACCACAAGCGATGAGCTCCCATGGTGATCCCTAACGCAGCCATGAAGTACAGCATCACACTGAACCCTATAGTCTTCCACTGCGCCACGAAAATTGCCAGGTATATCCCATACACGGAGTAGAAGTGCAGCAACATGAAGAGTATAGCGTTCCGCCAAACTACTTTCGACCAGTCCAGGTGACGAAGATCATGGATTATTTTCCTTACATTTATTTTCAACTCTCGCTTCTCCAACAGAGGTGAATGAGGTTGGTCTTCCTCTTCCAACAGCTCCCCTTTAACATTCTGGTCTGGAGCCTGTGGCGCCATTACTCTTCAAAGTTGTGTTTAACTTCACAGGGTACTGCAGTGACAGTAGCTAGCTAGGTAGGGCAGGAGCTCAAGTACACCACAATACTAGACGCTAGTTCAGACCTAACTAGCGGTACCGGACGCGCCGCGGTCTTGTTATTGTCAACGCGCCGGGGGCGGGGCCAAGCCTCACAGCCCAACTCTCGCCACAAAATTAAAGACTTTTAACAACTAAATGTAGTCGCCGGGGGCATAGAATCACGAAACTTTATTCTATCATATACGGTGCCGAAAATACAGATTATCCTATTAAGAAAAGGGATTATCAGAGAGAACTTTCAGCGCACACCGCGGCAAAATACCTGCCGGCATATCAGGGGAGGCGCCTGCTAGATCGATCAACCAACCTGCACCCACCTCAGCTATGATGCAACCACGCGGGGTTTTCAAAAAATATTTACAAACTCTTACACATACTCCAAGTAAATATTTCTAACACTCGAATGCTTGCAAAGAACACATTGCCCTCACTAATAACCATTTCCTTCACAAAGAAAGTTTAGCAACCTTAAATTTCATTAATGAGGAATAATGAGGAAATGTGAGATCCACGTCAGGTGGGCATATCTCACGTCATGACAAGAGTGGAGTGATCGGATCTTAATATAGAATGAATAAGATGATGCAATTAAAGAGTGCATTGTGTGTCACTCAGGTGATCACAAATATGACACGTGGATAACATCGAAAATTTATCTCACGAAATATTACAAATACGAATAAAACGAATAATACGAATAAATATTACACGAATACGAATAAAAATTATTGATAAAAAACATGGATAGGTGTAGTACACATATATGGTACATAGGTGTAGTACACAGTGGTACACAGGTGTGGTACACTGGTACACAGGTGTGGTACACCGGTACACAGGTGTGGTACACTGGTACATAAGGTGTGGTACACAGTGGTACCTGTGATACACTGGTACATAAGTGTGATAGCATATTGGCACACAGGTGTGGTACACTGGTATATAGGTGTGGTACACTGGTACATAGGTGTGGTACACAGTGGTACATAGGTGTAACGCACAGTGGTACACAGGTGTGGTACACTGGTACATAGGTGTGGTACAGTGGTACATACGTGTGGTACACAGTGGTACATAGGTGTGGTACACAGATGTGGTACACAGTGGTACATAGGTATGGTACACAGATGTGGTACACAGTGGTACATAGGTGTGGTACAATGTAATCTAATCTAGTAGGAGTGTTTTCCTTCGCGATTTGTACAATTTCTGATATTAATTCTTCTCGAGTAAGCATTACGAAATCCTGACGTCAGTGGCTAATATTTTGGAAATTGTCAAGTGGGCTAGGCTATAGCATCTTTTTTTTTTTTTTTACCAATTCCATGTAATATTTCAGCTACTGCAGCACAGCGGGAACGCTGCACTTGGCCTATAGGTCCCTGCTAGGCAGGTCTAACTCACATCAAACCACGCCGGCTCGTGTATCCTCCAACCAATATTTAAAACCACGTAGCGACGATACCTGGGAGTTCCACTCATCTACAACTTTCTTGCTAAAAACCAAAAAGGCACAATACCGTGACTGGAACAATACACAAATAACCCGCACATAGGAGAACGAAGCTTATGACGACGTTTCGGTCCCACCTGTGACCAATGACTAGTCACAATAGTCTAAGTCAGACCGAAACGTCATCAGTTTCTTTCTCCTACTTGCTGGTTATTTGTGTATCTCTTCCGAAACCAATGCTTTCCAATATCCTTTCTAAATTTATATTTGTCCAGCTTTCCTCAACCAGAATTCTAGGAAGGGACTACAGTATTTTCCGGCATATAAGGCGCATGAGTGTCAGCTGCTTGCTAGTACGATGTTTCAAAGCAGTTGTAATGTAACGTTAGTAAACAACTTATAAAGCCTAACTCAAAGCCTATCCTTGACCCTGATATTGAGCAGGCCGGTTTCTCAAGACTTTTTTTTAGGGGAGGGGGGAGTGCGCCTTATATGCCGAAAAAATACGATACTTCTACGAGCTGACGATCCGAGATCCCGGGTTCGAATACCAGTCACACCGCTGAATTGTTACCTTCGTTCGTTACGAATTTTCCCATAGTAAAATAATTAAGCAAATTGTGTCTACCTGAGTAGCAGACTGAGGTGCCTTGAAGAGCTCTTGATCCAAGGAGTTAAAGTTACTTTTCCCCCCTCGGATCAAGTCTGATTACCTCCCAATCCCCAGGGCTTGGCACTCACACATGAATATAATAATAATAATAATAATAATAATAATAATAATAATCAGATTATGCTTCAGTTGTAACACAAAATATATATAAATGTGCTAAACAACAAACAGGATATATACACTGAGAGGAGTATATTTCTCAGTATATATACATTGAGAGTTTATTCCCTGTTTTAGGTAGTGAAGTATTCTTGGCTGATAGTGTACACGTGACATGCAGCCTCAATGATCCTCGTGTAGTAGATTGTCTTTAAACCCCGTTAACCAGCCAGCAAACAAAGTTGACAGTGTTTATCCCTGTAGTATAAATTTCTAATACGATGTTTGACTAAGAAATCACTGAACATATAATATGAGGGATAAACTGAAAAGGAATTATTGAAAAGAGTATACCAGAATTACTGAAAAAGGTATACCAGAATTATTGAAAAGGGTATACTAGAATTATTGAAAAGGGTATACTAGATTTATTGAAAAGGGTATACCATAATTATTGAAAAGGGTATATCAGAATTATTGAAAAGGGTATACCAGAATTACTGAAAAAGGTATACCATAATTACTGAAAAGGGTATACCAGAATTATTGAAAAGGGTATACCAGAATTATTGAAAAGGGTATACCAGAATTATTGAAAAGGATATACCAGAGGATAAAAATGCCTAACCAAGACATGAGTCACAGGGAAGTACTTAATTTAAAGTCAATTCAGATTTAGAAAGGAAATAGGAGGATACTGGTTTGGCAGTAGAGATGTAAATAAGTGAACTGAACTGCCAAGCAGCGTTATGGAAGCGAATATTTGGGTACAATGTAAAATAGGTTAGACTAATACATCAGCGAGTCTATTCGTGGGAAGAAGAGCTACCTAGCACTACTAAGTTAAAAAGTAAGACAAACATATGGGAGAGCCTAGTCAGTGATAAAGAGCTACCAAGCAATGGCAAGTTAAAAATAAGTTAGACAAACACATGGGCGAGTCTAGTCTGGCGTGAGGAAGATCTGCAAAGCTTTGGCAAGCTAAAAATAAGTTAGACGAACACAAGAGCGAGCCTAGTCAGGGGTACAGAACATGTCTAGCATGGGCTAGTAGGCCTACTGTGCAGTCATCCTGTCTTATAGACTAGGTCTATAAGACAGGATGATTGCATCAGCGGCATTATAGGTAATATATCTATTATCATTATTGTATCATATAATGTGAAATGCATTGCATATTTTGAACAAAAAAAAATATTTTTTCTATACTTTCTATAGACATTATTATCGAAAATTTCATTATTTTTACCAAATAAAATTATTTATAAAATCTAAATGTCTAAATTCTAGGTACTAGGTTAGGTTAGGTTAGGTAATGTTCGTCAGGAAACAGGACAAATGTTTCCTGACGCGGGTCTTAGTCAGATGATGACCCGCCTTTGGAGCTTTTGGTCATCTGACCGAGGCCTTCCGCTGGCTTACCGGTCCACCCCTTTAAAAATTATGGTCATCTACGTACTTTCGGCAATGTTACTATTCTTTGATAATGTTACTGTTTTAAAGTCTAGAATGTTAACACTGAACGGTTATTGATAAATATATATTCTTCCTGTTAATGTGAGACCAATGGTGTGTAATACAGATATATTTAATAAAATATTGCTTATTTTGTTAGATAAACATTACTTCTTTATGGCTTATGGAAACTACTGTTGTTATTATTATTACTGTTATTTATTTTCACTACAGTAGTGTAAGTTACTCGTGAAGCCTGATTACAGTACAGTGTAGGTTACTTGCCAGCCTGACTACAAGACAGAATAAAACCATACCCCCGGCCGGGATTGAACCCGCGGTCATAGAGTCTCAAAACTCCAGCCCGTCGCGTGTGGGTTGGTCATGTCTGCCTGACTACAGTACAGGGTGGGGCACCTTATACCTGCCTACCTCAAGTACAGACCACGTATGCTTGGCTGGTAACAGTTCAGTCAAGATACGTGGCCTGCCTGGCCAAGTGCTGGCCAACACGTGTCTCACGCATGCGTGATTCACCTTCCCTGTGTCCGCCTCCCTCCACCCCACTCTCCATCCTCGTCTCTTTATCCTCTCTCCCACTCCCTCCTCTTCCTTCCTTCCCTCCCTCCTCTCCCCCTGAGTTGCACGTGTTTGGGCCATGCCTGAGAACCAATCTCGGCTGATCACCTAGCAAACCACACACACACACACACACACACACACCATTCTACCTCGTCCTCCCAGCATCTCTTCATCTCCGTCTGAAAACCATCAAAGTTTAGAGAGAGAGAGAGAGAGAGAGAGATATGAATGTTACTAAGTGCTAGTGTGCGTATGGTGTTAGAAAATTAAGTTGTTTCTATGTGTACGTAGTGTAGATTTGTAGCTGCAGCTGCGACTAAGTGTAACTAGTGTAGAGTTGTAGCTGCTACTACGTGTACCTATTGTAATTTGTAGCTGTTACTAGGTGTACCTAGTGTATGCAGTTGAAAGTATGAAGGTAGTCACCTGGGAGCACCTGCCCCAGGGCGTCCTGCACTTTTCTTTCTCTGGTAAGAGACGAGCTGCCTTTCTGGGAAGCAGAGTTTTTTTAGATCCCTATAAAACGTTAACCATTTTTGTCGTTTCCATGCCCTTAGAGGAAAGCAATATATTAAATTCATGACGCATGTATAGCAGTTGGATATCTTTATTGACAGAGTATCGTCTGCGCAGTAGGCTTTTTCAGTCGAATACTCCTCTCCTAAATATACTGGCTCCTTGCTTGGTAGATTTGCAGTATTACTCTGCCCGGGTCTTGACCAATATGTGACCCGGCCAATATGTTTATACTGGCTCCCTCATCTTCGTGTTATTGTGAC